AATTTATTAGACCACCTGCCATAATAAAGAGAAAACATTTTTAGGAATTTTAGGAATCTGTCAAAAAATTGTTTAAATAAAAAATTGTTATTGTCATTTATTTGGCAAATAAACTTAAACAACTAAATAGTATTTATTCACATAACAAAAATGGCCTCCTATGCCCTTCATAACAGCTTGCATTCTTGCTGGCATTGTTTATGTACTTTTTGACTGTAATTGGGTATCTGAAAAATAAACATTATAAAGCTAATTATATTATAGCATTAGAAATAGTCTACTACAGTTACTAAAGAGCTTACGCATATTGGAGGACTAACCAATACAGAAAGCTAAAATATTATTTTGGTAATCACCAGTAGGCTACTGTTAGTTTAGAGCAGCAGTGGCACAAACCATAATTTGTTAAAAACCTTACATAAATTTGTTTTAATAAATTTAAGCATTGTATATAGTTATATATGTATATTGTTTAAAATCTCTGCATTAAAAATTAAAATAATAAAGATGATAAAGACGAATAAAATCACAAACTCAGTTGTAACCAACAGGTAAGAGTAATGTTCTGCAGGAACACGTTCACTTTGATCACAGTCACGTCTTACTGTCATTTCTTTATTCTGTTAAAGGCGGTTATGAAGCGTCTGATATTTATATTCAGACAATTACACGCTGTTATCCCCTTACAGGTCCTACTCACATAAAATACTCTAAATGCATGTTGATCTTTAAACCTCGATTTAACTTTCAATAACAGATATTTCAGCACAATGAATGTTTTTGCGCTGATTACTAATTGTCTCTTTTCCGTCTGTCTGACGTGCGTGCATGCATCCGCCGCTCATTCAGTAAAGATTAAAACTTAACACAGATTGTCAGGATGGACATTTATGCAAAAATGGAAATGCTCGCGTGAAATTGTGACATTTATACATAAGGATATGACCGTAAACTGAAAGTTTTTGCGCTGAGGACGCATACGCATCATCTGTCAAAGCCCTGACAAGCCATTACGCTAATGCATTAGCTTAAAGCTTAAAATAAAGAAGTCTCATGTTTTGGGCAGCTTGGATCACGTAACTCTCCCGCAGCATCTCATTCTGTTTCCTCCACTATTTTTAGATGCATTTTGTCCATAAAAATGTGTAATTCAGTGCTGTAATTTGACGCGACAGGATGAAGTTGGACGTGCACTGTGGGCAGACCCGACTAATCGATAATGAGAATCGTTGTCAATGATTTTCATTGTCGATAATAATCGATTTTATCGATTAGTTGTTGCAGCCCATTTGAATTTTGACAATGTCTATATCTTTTCTTTTTTTTTATTACTTTTTAAAACTAAATTTCAATTTATAACGTATACACATACCATGTATATACATAAATGTGTGCGTTTCATCATTTTGACCTTTATGTCATAATTATGATATTTTTGGCAAATAATTTTAATACATAACACATATACACACACATACACATATATATTATAAGAACATATACAGTATAATATGATTTAATATACATGATATACATTGTCTATCTACTGTATATCTATCTATATATCTATTTCTATATCTATATCTATCTATCTATATATATATACACATATATATATTTGATTAAAAACCATGAAAAACTTCCTATTTCCCACTTATGAATTCGTGATTACAAGCACATTGCATTCTTTTCTGTTAAAAATAACAGTGAACAGTGGTTTGTGAATGTTGATGCTTACCCTAAATAATTTTATTGGGTGTGTTCATGTGTACTGCAGTCTTAGGCCCATCCCAAATGCTCTCTATTATCTAATAATAATAATAATAAAAACTGCGTTAATGCACGATATAATAATTGTAGGCGTTAATTACTTTAATTAATGCATTAATGCGATAACGCGTTAACTTGCCAAGCCCTAATATATATATATATAATAAATTAAGTTTCTTTTTTTTATATATTTTAGGAAATGGATAATTCCGTGATATGGATACTTGTGGAACTATTTTTATACATCTAAAAGTTTGTATGCTTTGCTACATTTTGTGTCACGCCTAACAACCCCCATTAGCCATGGCAAAAATTCACCTTTTTGAGTGGCGGCTGGAAGAAATCTGAATCTCTGGAGTTCCCATCAGTGCTGCTGGTCTCACTGGCTTGATCACTGGGAGCTTCCCTATATATCACACACATAGAGATTATTATATGTGACCCTGGAGCACAAAAGCAGTCTTAAGTCGCTGCTACAATATTAGTCACACACACACGCACTCAAATATATAGTATAAAATATATGTATTTATTTATATTGTTCGCTCACATTATATATATATATATATATATATATATATATATATATATATATATGCACACACATGGATCACTATGAGTAACAAAATTATTTTTTAAATAGATTTTTTATTGTTTTCTTTTATTTTTAAAATTTGTTTTCTTTTATTCTTTAATTGTTTGTTTTTTTATTGTTTTCAATGTCAAGTTTACTATTTCTAATGTATAATGAACTAATACAAAACAAATACAATTTACAATATAAAAATAATAAACAATATACATTTAGTTTAATTTTACAAACAATATACATTTTTACTATTTTTTTAAATATATTTATTAATACTGATTTTGTTTTGTGCATATCACTCACGTACATTTTTTTTTATCCTATCCTTTGTTCACATTAAACGTATCCCATTAGTTATTTTCTATGTAAATGTTGGTTTCAGGTGGCAGTCATGTGTGTGTGTCGGGGTTCGTGTCTGGTTCATCAGAAGAGGTTTGCGGAGGAGTTTTTCCAGAGAGTCAGGGCTGCACAGACGCACTCATCAGTGAAAGACACCTGACGCTCAACTTCACAGACAGAGTGGAATGCTGGGAAATCCAGCACCCACAAAACAAGCTTGTGTGGAAGAGAGAGCAAGACAATACCGGTAGCATACTGATGACTTTTTGTGCATAGTCCTGATCATGTTTTGAAAGTCCATCTGTTGCTAGTATGATGATATTGATATGATGCATTTATTCAGGACATGCTGTAGCGCTGCCGCTAGTGTCAGGCGGGTACATCATGCAAAAACCTCCTTTTTTCCATCCTCTCTGCTCTAAACTCTGTGCCGTGAGCCTGGCGTTGGGCTCTGAACACGCTGTGCTGCTGGCGTCGGATGGGACTGTGTACTCCTGGGGATCTGGAAGGTACAAGAGAGATTCCAGTGTTAATCTTGTAATTAAAAATTGGGTAACACTTTACAATAAGGTTCCATTTGTTAACATTAGTTAACTATACTGCATTTGTTTTAACACATGCATTATATATTACTATATTACATTTACAAGAAGTATTAGTTAACATAAACCAATTAAAATATTTATTAGTCTTGGTTCATGTTCATTTCGATATTTACTAATACAATCTTAAAATCAAAAGTTGTGTCTTTTAATGTTATTTAACAGACCTGAGCTGGCATGATCTAAAAATGTTATTTTCATGAACCAGTATTTACAAAGATTAATAAATGCTGTAACAGATGTAGTGCTCATTGTTTGTTAATGTTAGTTGTAGTTAGACCTTAAAGTGTTACCAAAAATAATATATTAATTGTAGAACTAATGTGCATTTATGGGTGAGTCTCACAAAACCTGTCAATAACAGGTGATATTTCAGATTATAAATAAGAAAATTAAGCATATTTTTACATTTGTTTTAATGACAATTAAGCATATTTTATTAGAGATTCTCATTACTGTAACAGTGTTGTTATTGTAGCCTAAAACTATTAAAAATAATTGTCAGTTATTAAAAATAAAACTAAAATAAAATAAATTGTAAAGATGAAAAACTTAAACAAAAAAACGTAAACAGAACATAACAAATTTGGCATGGCAACTAACTGAAATAAAATATGTTTACGTTAAAGTACTACAATTACGAAAATTAATGAAATAAAAATTAAATAAAGCTAAATAGAAATATTGAATAAAAATGACAAAAGCACATCAAATTTACGTTTGAATACTACATTTACTAAAATTAAAACTGAAAATAAATAAAGCTAAATAAAAATATTGAATACAAATGGCAAACGCACATAACAAAATTACTAAAACTACTGCAAATTAAAATGAAAACTGAAAATATAAAAATAAAAGCAATATTTAAAAAATATTAATAAATACTATAATAGTGTATAAATACTAAAATAACTATTGTTGTAATGCAAAAAGGTATGTGTGTATATATATACTGTATGTATAATTATTATTATTAATATATTTTATTATTTAAATTGTAAAGCATTTATATTTATCATCATGGCAGTATTTTTTGTCCTGCCTCTAATTTATGCTTATTGTGAAAATTCATTGCATTACAATAATATTTTCTGTAAAATAGAACTGAAGAGTGTTTTTAAGTGGATGTTTTGTGTTGTCAGTCATGGTCAGCTGGGTCACGGCGCTCTGGCGTCACAGGAGGAACCTCAGGTAGTGGAGGCGCTGTGGGGCGTCCCGATCAGAGCAGTGTCTGCTGGGAGCTGGCACTCCGCTTCCGTCAGCGGTAAGCTTTTTCCTGAAACTTTCGTGATCAAATTCAGCCATTTGGTTGCTCATACTAATATACAGAGTGTTCATTTGAAATATGTTTATTGTGTTTAGCTGGTGGGGACCTGTATATGTGGGGATGGAATGAAAGCGGGCAGCTCGGTCTGCCATCTAGAGGCCTGGAGGAGGAAAAGCTCAGAGGAGAAAGCAGTGGTAAAATGACTATATATGTGACCTTGGAGCACAAAACCAGTCATAAGGGTCAATTTTTTGAAATTGAGATTTATACGTCATCTCAAAGTTGAATAAATAAGCTTTCCATTGATGTATGGTTTGTTAGGATAGGACAATATTTGGATGAGATACA